GCATTTAATTTCTATTTTCAGACCATAACTTGATACAGATCTCTGCGCTTAACGTTCGTTCCCCGACATGGAACAACGAAAGCGCGCTATACAAAGCTTTCACTTTGATTACAAAGCTCTAACTTTGCCCACGAAACTTTCACTTTACATAGAAAGCTTTCACCTTGCTTACAAAGCATTCACTTCGCTTAAAAAGCTTCCACTTTTCTCACAAAATTTTCACTTCGCTCACAAAGCTTCCATTTTGATCACAAAGCATTCACTTTTCTCACAAAATTTTCATTTCGTTTACAAAGCTTCCATTTTAGTTGCAAAGTCTTCACTTTGCTTACAAAGCTCTAAGCCAGCCGAGCTTTCAGCTTGCATAGAAAGCTTTTACTTTGCATAGAAAGCTTTCACTGTACTTACAAAGCATTCACTTGGCTAACAAAGCATTTACTAAGCTTATAAAGCTTCCATTTTGCGCACAAACCTTTCACTTCCAAAGTTTTCCTTTTATTACAAAACTCTAACTTTGCCTACCAAGTTTCCACATAGCTCACAAAACTTTCCTTGCGAAGCTTCCGCTTTGCTTACGAAGCTTTCACCTTGCTTACAAAGCATTTGCTAAAAAAGCTTCCACTTTACTAAAAAAACTTTTCACTTTGCTTACAAAGCTTTCACTGTGCTTACAAAGCTCCCACCTTGCTTACAAAGCCGTCACTTTGCTTACAAAGCATTAACTTGGCTAAGAAAGCTCTAAATTGGCTTGCGAAGATTTTACTTTGCTTACAATTTTCCACTATTAAGCTCGTCCATATACATTTTAGCAACTACAATATCAGCATAAGTTTATTTAAAATTGTATGCTATTGTTCAGAATTTTAAAAGCTTGAAAAGTTTATAAAGTTTTATTAYAGTTTTCTAAATTGTAAATACTCTTAATAAAAACGAAAACTTTTTGTGAAGCTTTTGAAAATTCACAACWTGCGCATACTAGCAGTTTTATAAAGCATATCAACCCAGCGAATTTCTTGAATCTAAGCAAGCTTTCGAAGGTACTGAAAAAACACTGAAAGCTCAAGTAAATAATCACATTCTAGCCCAACATAAAATACTATGTTTCCAAACTTTTAAATTAAAAAAGCTTTGGTAGTTTAGCGTTGTGGGCTTTAAAGAGTTTTATAAAGCTTTTTTGAAAAGCTTCGAAGGTAATGAAAAATTATTAAAGCTCAAATAAATATTTACCATCTAAAATACTACAAGCACTCATTTTTTTAATTAAAAAGTTTTAGTAGCTTGGTTTCGCAAGTTTTTGAGCTAAGATGTTTTAAGGAGCTTTTTTTTGAAATGTTTCAACGATGGCTTTACGTTCAATATGTAAGCATTGGCCGCACAAATTTTTAACTCCTCTGAGCTTTTAAGCTTAAAAATTTTCGTGAGCTTTTTTGAAACGTTGCAGACTATATATATTGCCTACATTTAGGTGCTTGTGGTAGCTTTACTTCCTTTCCTGTAACTTCGTGTAGGCTTTTTCTTTCAAAACCGATTAACGGCATTTGTTCTAAATTCTCAAATTAGTCGTTAGAAAAAAAATTGTAAAATTTGTGAGAATTTCGTAAAATTTTTCAATTTGCAATGGAGGGATGTGCTTAATGACATACTCGTGATATTTTTACTACTTCTTAAATCTTACAACTAACTTTCTTGTGCTTTTGAAGAGTTTATGTTGGTTTAGATAACCTAAGTAGGTAGATTTCCTTAGGACTTGGTAATGAGTGAAGAGAAATTTTCGTAGAGTGAGAGTTGTTGGCTCAATTTAAGAAAGCTGAAAAAGTAGAAGTTGTTGCTACATCGTAAAAAAAGCTTCTTCAGAAAAATTAGAATCTCTAAAATATATATTTAAATTCATAGATTTCTAATATTCAATATATTTAATGTAAATAGTACTGTAAAGGAATGGAGGAAAGCATCCACTCGTTTTAATAACGGTTTACATTGAGCTTTTGAAATAAATTTTTTCGAAATTTTATTTTTTTAATGCTTTTAAGTGTGACTTTCAGCACATGTTAAATTTCCAAATATTTCTCACAGTTGGTAACTCTATGTAGCTGTTGTTGCATAGCGAGTTTTGCAACATGTTTTAACTTGTTGGATTAGTAACTAATTTTTGGTTTTTAATTTTTTCTGTGTACATACATATTTACTTTGAATTAAAAATTATTTTTTTTTGGTTTTAAATAATATTTTTAA